TCTCCTTTTCGACTCTCCCTCTCTCTCTCCCATCCTCCTGCATATGTCTCTGTCCTGATCATTCCTAGTGCTAAACATGATCGACCAACAAGTTGAGCACAGGGATGCTTTCTCTATTTCTCCCGGCGCACCTTCATCTCTCTCTCCACTCCCTCCTTTCATCCCCCGTTTTCTCGCCTCCATCCCCCCCCCCCAACCCCCCCACCCCCCCGCCTCAACCAGTCCTGGTGCTGAACGAGGTGGATCACTTGAGCAGGGAGGCGCAGCATGCTCTGCGGCGCACCATGGAGCGATACACCGCCGCCTGCCGCATCGTCATGTGCTGCTCGTCCGCGTCTCAGGTGAGGGTTAGGGCGATGGGCGGCTGACGACTGACGACTGACCATTGGCGATCGCTCTGTGCCATCTTGGAGCAATGCACGGCTGCTTGTCGCATTGCCATGCACAGCTCCCCCCCAGTGCTTGTTGCTCTCCCCCCATTGGGTTCCTCTTTCTTGTCTTGGATTGCCATGGAAGCGCACTTCTGTTCGATCTCTCCAACCAACCCACTAAGGGCATCACGGCCTGCTTTGCACCCTGCAGGTCACAGAGGCTCTTCGCTCGCGATGCCTCAACCTCCGCATCGCTGCGCCCTCCCACGACCAGGTGTGCCCTACTTACCCATGTGCACACTCACGCACTCACACACACTCCCAGGTACACACCTACACACCCGCATACATACACCCTCACGTGCACACATCAAACTGCATAGTCATATGCGTTTGGCGCTGCATGTCACACCAAAACATCTCTGTTTAACGTCAGGTACTGCAATCAAGCTTCCTCTCTCCTGCCCCTCTTCCCACGTGCTTTCCTCCTTCCCCTCTCTCCTGTGGCCTATTCAGATTCGCCCCCCCTCGCCCCCTCGATTCCTGTTTGTCTCTTCTCTGTCTAATCCCTCTCGCTCCCCTCCCGTTCAGATTGTGGACGTCATTGCTACAAGAGGTGGCATCCAAGGAGGGCGTGAGCCCACCGCCAGTGCTGGCAGGGCGGGTGGCAGTCAGTAGCAACTGCGGTCGAACTACCTTTCCCTTGCCACCTTTCCCTTCCCTCCCTTTCCTGCTGAGACGATTTTTGAGGCGCCTAAAAAATCAGTGAGTAGCAAGTGCGGTCGAACTACCTTTCCCTTGCCACCTTTCCCTTGCCACCGTTCCCTTCCCTCCCTGTCCTGCTCAGATCGTGGACGTGCTGCAGGAGGTGGCATCCAAGGAGGGCGTCACCCTGCCGCCAGTGCTGGCAGGGCGGGTGGCAGTGAGCAGCCAGCGCAACCTACGCAAGGCCATCCTCTCCCTAGAAGCAGCCAGGGCCGCGCAGTGAGTTGCCTGACCTGCCCCTTCTGATCTTTGCTCTCCGCCACATTCTCGTGCTCTCCCTCATCCACTCATCTCTCTCTCCGCCACATTCTCGTGCTCTCCCTCATCCACTCATCTCTCTCTCTCCGCCACATTCTCGTGCTCTTCCTCATCCACTCATCTCTCTCTCCGCCAACCCCGTCCTGCATGACCCCCAGCTACCCGTTGAGCGACAACCAGCCAGTGCAGCAGAACGACTGGGAGCTCTGTGTGGCTGAAATCGCTGCTGACATCATCAGCGAGCAGAGCCCCAGACGGTGAGGCGCGTGTGGAGTGGAAGGGGGAGAGGAGAGTGTGGAAGAGTGCGGCGGGTGTAGAAGGGTGGGGAGATAGCAAGGGAGGGCGGCAGGTTTCAGAGCGAGCGCATCGCTGACTGCCTTTGTGTGACGACGGTTTTTTAGGTTGCCGGGGTAACTGAGCTGAGGTAACTGAGCTGAGGTAACTGAGCTGAGGTAACTGAGCTGAGGTAACTGAGCTGAGGTAACTGAGCTGAGGTAACTGAGCTGAGGTAACTGAGCTGAGGTAACTGAGCTGAGGTTACTGAGCTGAGGTAACTGAGCTGAGGTAACTGAGCTGAGGTAACTGAGCTGAGGTAACTGAGGAGGCTGAGGTAACTGAGCTGAGGTAACTGAGCTGAGGTTACTGAGCTGAGGTAACTGAGCTGAGGTAACTGAGCTGAGGTAACTGAGCTGAGGTAACTGAGCTGAGGTAACTGAGCTGAGGTAACTGAGCTGAGGTAACTGAGCTGAGGTAACTGAGCTGAGGTAACTGAGCTGAGGTAACTGAGCTGAGGTAACTGAGCTGAGGTAACTGAGCTGAGGTAACTGAGCTGAGGTAACTGAGCTGAGGTAACTGAGCTGAGGTAACTGAGCTGAGGTAACTGAGCTGAGGTAACTGAGCTGAGGTAACTGAGCTGAGGTTACTGAGCTGAGGTAACTGAGCTGAGGTAACTGAGCTGAGGTAACTGAGCTGAGGTTACTGAGCTGAGGTAACTGAGCTGAGGTAACTGAGCTGAGGTTACTGAGCTGAGGTTACGGCTGACAGCATCAGCAGGCAGAGGCCTAGGATGTGAGGAGAGGCAAGGAGGTGAGACGCAGAGACGCGCACACCCGTTCCACCCCCGGCTTCACCTTCTCCCTCCTCCCGCTTCCCCTTTACCATCTCCTCCTCCCCCTACTCCTCATGCCAGGTCCGAACCAGGTTCCTGTAAGACCTCCAAGGCCTTGTCATCAGGCACCATCTCATGTCCTCTTCCATGCTCTCTCTCCTCTCCCCCCCTGCTCTCTTCCCCCTCTGCCCGCATCCCAGGTTGTTTCAGATCCGAGCCAAGTTCTACGATCTTCTCATCAACTGCATCCCCCCCCACCTCATCATCAAGGTAATGGTGAAGCCTCCAGTGTCCAGGCCCTAGGCTGTAGGCTCCACGCTCGAAGTTGCCAACCCTCGAGTGTCATCAAGTGCACTCCGCCCCATCAATCGCAGCTCATCCTCCTGGTCAGGGCATGCATGCGCACCACTCTCCTCCAGGGTCTGGCGGCTGTGGTTCGGGGTTGGGGTTTGGGTACGGGCTACTCGACCCATGACCCAACGCCACACTTTACTCTCCTCCCGCCCTCACCTTCCAGCGCCTGACAGTGGAGCTGATGCGCACGGTGGATGCGGAGCTCAAGCACGAGGTCACGAACGAGTAACCTTCTTCCACCTCTCCCATCCCATCCCATGTTCCCCCTCCCTCTCCCCCTGCTTCCCCTTTCAGCGCCTGACAGTAGAGCTGATGCGCGAGGGGATGCGGAGCTCAAGCACGAGGTCACAGGAAGTCCCTCCCATCGTCCCCTTCCCCCGTTCCCTCTCCATCCTCGCCCCTCTCTCTCTCTTCTCTCCCCCCCAGCGGCTGACGGTGGAGCTGATGCGCAAGATGGATGCGGAGCTCAAGCACGAGGTCTGCCACTGGGCCGCCTTCTATGTGCGTGCTTACGAGGGGAAAGAGAGGGGCGGGGAGAGCAGGGGAGTGGAGTGGAGTGGAGGAGTTTCGAGGTCTGAGTTTCTATTCAAAGCCTCAAGCACGAACTTTGCCACTGAGCCCACCTCCCACATCGCCGATGAGGAGATGTACAGTTATTCTAGCTTCAGGACTCAAGCGTGAAGGGTGCTTTTAGGCGGCTTTCTATGTGCGTTTATCGAGGGAGGATACAGATTGGGGAAGGGTTGAAAGGATGCGGGGTGGGTGGGGAGAGTGGTGGGGTTTGGGGATGCATACCGCACGAGCAGGAGCATCATTTGATATCTTTGTGTGTTTCTGGGCCTGTGTGCATGAGCAGGAGCATCGGTTGCATCTGGGACAGAAGTCGATATTCCACCTTGAAGGTACGCGGCAGCGCATGCCAATGCCCGCTCAAACCATGCTGCCGCACGTGACGAGTTCCATCCACTTCTCCCCACCCATGTGCATCCCCCCATGTGCATCCCCCCATGTGCATCCCCCCATGTGCATCCTCCCATGTGCATCCCCCATGTACATCCCCCATGTGCATCCACCCACGTGCATCCCCGCACGTGCATCCCCCATGTGCATCCCCCCATGTGCATCCCCCCATGTGCATCCCCCCATGTGCATCCCCCCATGTGCATCCCCCCATGTGCATCCCCCCATGTGCATCCCCCCGTGTGCATCCACATGTACGTACAGACGCTCATCCATGCAGCAATCCATTTGGCCCCAGCAGTCCCATTCTAGCTCGTGAATCGAGCCACCCTCCTGCCACCTTCACTCTCCCACTTGCTGTTACCGTGCCAACTTTCAAGTTTAAACCACCTCCGTCCATCGTTGGACGGAATCTCAGTTCCCCAACCCCCCTCCCCCCCCCCCCCTCCCCGCTTTCCCCTCTCCCCCATCCAGCCTTTGCTGCCAAGGTCATGGCGATCTATAAGGAGTTCCTCGTTACTGCGTTTGGTTGATGTATAGGTTTCGCTGGTTAGCATCTGGCATACTGGCATCTGCATCTGGTTTAGCTGGTTCATACTGGCATCTGCTTGATTGGGGAGGCAAACAAGGATGCAAACAAATGACTGGGTGAAGGCTCATGCTCAGGCCCCCAAATTGGTTTTGGAGCATCAGCTCCACTGTCAGCATACAGACTTGCCTCCCATCCCTTGGTATGGCCATCAGACTCGCCTCTGAAAAAAAGTATGAAAAATCAGAGTAACAATTCTTAAAGAAGCTTAGGACACTAACTAAACTTAGGAACCTAGCTTAGCTAGGAAGGAAGGAAGGCCGCCATGGAATGCCGTGAGGAAAGTAGATCTAGGAGCGTGAGGAGAAAAGTTGACGAGAGAGAAGAGGTATCGATTAGGAAGAAAGAGGAGTACAAGGAGGGGTTTGTATCCTCTACAGAAAGGTTCAGTAACAACCTACCAAGCCTATATTAAATTATAACTTATATAATTTTAACAACAATATACTTTGTCTGATAAATCAGAGTCACTAATTTTTTTTACGCTGATTTTAAAACTGTTGTACACTACACGTCAATAAATGTCCTGCATAACCTCCTCCTCAACCTCGTCCACCGAACTCCTCCACTTTCCTAGTGCCCTCTTACTACTTGGGCTTGGCATGCCAAAAGCTCTCTTAGAGTAATTCCGCACCTCGGGTCTGACCCGCTGCAGGAGCCGCGGGGTTTGCAGACCCAACTTCGGCTCTTGTGATTCTGACACGAGCTCCAGAATGCTCCCTCATTCTGCTTTAGCTGTCTGTGTGCTGGCGAAATCGCAGAATTTCGCGCCACCCAAGACCAGGCTTGCGCTACGAGTGTGTTCAGAGTGAAATTTCCTTGATTTTTTTTTCCTGACGTTGGCAAATTTTTACGCGAGATGCAGCGCAAATACGTGTTCAGAGTGCACGATGTAGGCCCAATAAAATTGAATTTATTGGGCCGACGTGGTGGTACACGTAAACTTTCAAGGATGGGGCGGATAGGAATTGGGGCGGGGAGTATCGAAATTGCAGGGAGGGGAGGGAGGGAAATCGGCGCCATCCAGGTGGCAACCTTGTGAACGGCCAATGGGCGCCCTCGCAGACACAGCCCGCGGCAGACATCGGCAATTTTTCTGAAGGGCTAATCGACCCCTCACACCGCCTCCAGCACAAAGATTTTGGCTAAGGGCCATTCAGCTCCCTCACACAGCCCCCAGTACGCATTGGCCTTCGATTTTCGCGAAGGGCCAGTCTGCTCCCTCACACAGCCCCCAGTACACATTGACCTTTGATTTTGGTGAAGGGACAGTACGCGCCCTCACAAAGCCTCCAGCAAGCATCACGCCCTGATTATGGCTAAGGGCCAGTCAGCCAGTGCCGATCTTTGGATTTTCACTACTTTGAAATCTGGAAGCTTCTTTCACCATTACTCTGAAAACTAGAGCGATCCTCAACATTTTCCCTGAGGCATCAGAGTAACCCTATAATTTGTTTTTTTTTACTCTGGGTAGTCAGGGTGGTATTTTTTCCGGCTCTGGTGAGAGTGCTAGTTGCAGTGTTAACTAATGACAGCAACAGTTTTCTTGGCAATAAAGCATAGCACAATATTACATGATTAACTCATCATCATCATCCTCCTTGTCATCCTCACTCCCACCTCCGACACTATCATCGTCTGAGCTCTCTGCGACATCCTTCTGCTGTGGGAAGAGGGGAATTTCCTGCTCAAATCCAACATTCCTAGCTTGCCTACGGTGCCTAATGCGCCTCCACTTCTCCACGATCTGGGGGTATTCCATGTCGTAGTCCAGCATGCTGATGGTCATCAAGTCACCAAGGGTGGCATCGCACAGGCTTGTGCGATGCCCCCCTTGATAACATTCTGCCGTGAGAATCTGCGCTCGCACTCGACGGTGCTCAAGGGCAACACCGCCAGCGCCTGCCACATCCGCATCAGGTTCGGGTAGGATTTGGACCAGTCCTTCGTCTTCATCATATTGGCCAAGCCCTGGGCGAAGTCATCGTCCTTGTGATGAGTCTTCATGATGTGGCAAAAGGTCTTCAGCTCCAGGTCCATCGCTCGCAGTTCGACTCCTATTGGCGGGGAGGGAGGGGGGGGGTAGGGGCGTTCATGGCACGAAAAGGAGAGGTGTTGAAGTAACAGAGTAGGCACCGCATCTAACCTGATTCAAGACACACGACACGACCTCTTTTAGAGCCACTGGCCTGGCAGCTTGTTGTCAAACAGCGCCATGTTCTGCTCAGCCCACTTGCGGCACCGGCGCTCCCACACCTCTGACTTCTTGGGCCACTGGTCCACCTTGTAGAGCTTCGACCCCTCCATCCGCTTCATGTCCCACAGCCGCCCCTCCAAGCACCCCACTGTCTCCTTGGCGAACGCCGTGCAAAGGTCTTCGCAGTCGGAAGGAGTGCTGCCGAACGCATGTCACGGGATGTGCGACAAGGTGAGCTCGAACTTGTGTGTGCAGGGAGAGCCATCCGCAGCGATGCCGTGCACCTCGAGCGACCCCTTGCCCTCCTTGTAGCGGGTGAGGAACTTGTCGAGCTGCTTGCTCAGCCCGCCGCCGAACCGCTCCCCGTACTCGATGTATCGGTGCTTGATGTAGGTGACAGTGCGGTCGACCTCTTGGGTGACGAGCGTGATGTCCACCTGAAGGTCGGGGCGGGAGGGCAAGGGCAAAGGGCATGGATGTTAAAGAAAATTTCCCGCCAGACACACGCCCAAGTTATTAATCAACTCAACGAGCTGCGACAGGAGCGAGAACGATTCAACTTACCGTGCGGCGCTGGAAAAACCTGTTCAGAGTGTTGAGCTCAGCGAGGATGTCGGCGAGGAAGTTGAGGCCGAAGTGGAACTTGTAGGACTTCAGCAACGCGACGTGCTTGTGCTTTTACTCGATCAAGACGACGGTGACTGCGCCGAGAATCCTGCAGAGTCGCCGCACAGCGTCACCACGTGCAAGCCACCTTATGGCGTAGAGCCCCTGATGTTCGAGGTTCGTGTCATGGATGACAAGCTGCAGAGCCTTGAACCTCTCGTACCACGGAGTCGAGCGACCAATGATTTCCCCGAAAGCTCGGATGATCACGTCGACGATGAACAGGTCGGGGAAGGAGTTGGAGGCGTCTTTGACCGCCAGCACTTCTCTGCGATGGCACCAAGGCACAAGTGTGGTTAGAAACATGCATGGATAATCTTAGTGACATGGACAGGAGGGTACTGCGACGACAATCTTACTGATGTGTGATGCAATGGCAACCGACAAGGTGCGGGATACGCAGTCGGAGACGAGCGACAAGCCCGTTCTTCTCGCCGGTCATCACCGACGCCCCATCGGTGCTAATACCGGCGATCTTTTGAAGCTCAATGCCACTCCCCTCCAGGTGACCCAGCAGGATAGACTGGAGCGACGCGGCATCACACTTGTCGATAGTGAGCAGGCTCAAGAACTCAGTGACAACACGCCGCTTCTTTAAGAAGGTGCCGAAGACGATGAGGTGCTTTCTGCGGGTGCGGTCGGTACTCTCGTCGCAGCTGATGCCGATGAACGGGGAGGAGTGGATGTGCTCCATCTGCTGTGCCTTCAAGAAAGCCACCATGGCTTTCACCATCTCCCTGAATCCATACCTGCGACAAACACCATACAATAAGACATCAGTCCCGTATTCAATAGATTACACAAATATGAAAACAAGGAACTTACTTCGTGATGTACGCGCCGTAAGTCTGCTTGGGTATGTCCTTCACCCCCTCCTGCGAGAGGTGACCGATTAGACGTGTGAACATTGAAATCGGGGCATCTTCCTTACAGATGAATAGCATGGAGCGTAGAAGTCTGATGACGCGGGCGGCATCGGGGTCGTTCTTGGCGAAGTCGTCCATGCGCTTCTGGTTCTCGATTTCCTTGTCAAGGTGAGCTTGCTTCTGCACGCAGGCCTCATGCTTGGTGCTCTCCTTGTGCCACCACATGCTGCCAATCTGTAAGTCCCTGCCGCCAGGCCCATCGCGACCATAGCGGGCTGTCGACTTGCCATGCTGCATGCACACACTGCAACGTAAACATGGTGAGCCATCGTCAGTTTTATCCAAGACGAGCCAAGGAAACCTTCCATGCCAATCTGAGGTATATTTCTTATGAGCAGCAAGATAAGATTTGGCCTTCATCTCGGCCGACGTTGGTGTAAGGGGTCGCTCTGCTTCAACGACGGGGGCAGGGGTTCTTGGCGGCGTTATCTTGGGAGGAGGCGCGAAGGGCAGATGCCTCTGCTGGTACCGTCGTCTCTTCTTAGCCGACGATGTTGATGCAGATGCCGGTGGCGAGGGCACGGGATCCGGAGGTGGAGGATCTGCCGGCTTGTCAATCGACAGATTCGCCTCCTCCATTTCACGCTCCCATTCATCGCTGCTTAGACTCGGGAGTGGCAGAGGCTCTACTAGGGGGGCGGTAAGTCGACGCTTCGGGAGCGGAGGAGGGTCTACTGGGGAGGCGTTCGTGCGACGCAAAAAGTCTAAACCGCTGAGTGGGGTCGAGCTACGTGGGGGTGGGGCGTCATCCTCATCCTCCCCGCCATCGTTGGCATCGCCCAGGCCAGCCATAGCTGGCGAGGCGGGACGACGAGAGGATTCAAGGCTGGCGGAATAAATCACGTTCGAGGAGATGTGAGAGAGGATTGCTAAACCGGTACACTAGCGGCTACTGCCGATATAATACAAGGGGAGAATAACAGGGTGAAGAAGACGAGGCTTTTCTCGCCTGTTCTTGATGCCTGTGGCGCCATCGACATGAAGGTTGGGTGCCTTCCTGAGCCATCCTGAACGTTCGAGAAGGGCATATGCTCGCGCGTGCGGGGAAAGATTCCCGCAGTGTTGCATGCCTGTCGATGTGCGTGGCTGCAAAAAATGACAAAGGGGCCAATCAGAGGCACATACACGAACAGCGAGTACAAGTGTGGCAACAGTCGACGTGGTAAACTCGGGTGTGGCGCCGAAACCTGCGTAAAAAATGCACAAGTGTCCAATAGGAGAGAAGGGTATCTGCCAGCGAGGGTGGGTCTGGCAACATATGACGTGGGCCAGCTCGACGGTCTGCGTGAACAAGGCGAGCATATGGAGGCATGTACGTGGACAGGGGGGTACAGGAAAATACGGGGGTATCCCCCTTACAGTAAACCCCTCAGGGTGGTACAAAAGAAAACCCTGGCTTATAAGAGAAAACATATAATCTAAAAATTTAACCCAGAGGCGTAAGGGTGGTACACAAAATCAACTCTGAAAATCAGAGAATCAGAGTAATTTACTCGTGAAAAATAGGGACTGCAGTCAGCGCCCTCCACAG